AGTGCTGCAAAATGTAATAGCTGTCAACCCACCTCCATTATACACTGTTCCTTTACCAACCCACACCTTCGTGCTTTCTTTGATCTTTTCCAGAGCCCCAAATCCTCCACAAAGTCTGACATCATTATTCTAATGGCTGTGGGAAGGGCAGTGTTTAAACTTCCCTTTGTTCAATGGGAATAAATAACTAACTGCTTTGAATGACCACATCTCCCCCTCCATGAGTTGTGCAAGAAGATAACATGTTATAACCATTGGCAGCAGGTTGGTCACTGTTTCACACAAATGTTAATGTGCTTCCTTATGAGTGGATGGATCTTAAATGGAATGTGAGATTGATCTCCTGCTTTGCTATGGAGCCATAAGACTAAGACTGCTAATGTGCTCTTTTCAAAGAATAAGAAGGAAGCCTGGCTCGCTCCCTTCTCCCAGTCCCAGTCAATTCCCTCTGCCTTTCAGAGCCCCCTGATGTGCAGTACAACTTCAAGAAGCATGAAGTTTTAAATTAAATAGTTCAAGAACTACAGAGATCACATAGACAATGCCAAAAGAACAGCTTGCAAAGTTGGAGAACTTCAATGATCTGCTCACGCACAATGTTTTTCCAGAATAATGTTATTTCTGTGCTTTTGTTCGTTTAGGATCCTATCTAATTTGCATAAAGCTCCTAGGTCTCGGATTCATAAAATTAAAATATTATGGTTAAGTTGTTCCTTGGTTCATACATTGCTTCTAAATTCAAGTTATACTTAGCTTCCAAACTGAAATGATATCCAATGACATTAAATGTTGGTGGCATTACAGTAGGTGAGTGAGTGTTTAGATTTGACCATGGAGCCAAGGATAATTTGATCCACCATTCCAGTGGGGGACTACCACACCTAACCCCAAATTGCAGCCTCTGACTCCTACACTTGAGAGTTCAGTGGTGTACGGTAGATTTTAGTCACAGTTCTGCTGGAGAGAGTCTTTGCTACAGGATTCCCCATTTCACAGAATCACAGAAACAGAATTGCCAGGGTTGGAAGGGACCTCAAGGATCATGAATCTCCAACCCCCTGCCACACGCAGGGTCACCAACCATCCCACCTAATGCTAGACCAGGCTGCCCAGGGCCCCATCCAATCTGGCTTTGAACACCTCCAGGGACGGGGCATCCACAGCCTCTCTGGGCAGCTGTTCCAGCACCTCACCACTCTCTCTGTAAAGAATTTCCCCCTGACGTCCAACCTAAATCTCCCTTCCCTCAACTTAAAACCATTTCCCCTTATCCTGCTGTCACTCGCCCTTTCAAAGAGTTGATTCCCCTCCTGTTTGTAGGCTCCCTTCAGGTACTGAAAGGCTGCAGTTCGTACCTTCATGTCTTATTTACTAACATCTTGTTATTTAAGCAGATTTCAGATGATGATGTGTGACTTCACAGCCAGTTGCATCCTACTGAGCGTTCATTTCTGCCGTGCTTTTCAGTTCTCCATTAGGTTTTCAGACCAAGATTTTAACAACTATCATCTACAACCAATGTACCTGAAGATTCTGTTTTCTACAGCAATGGAAACACTATGTAAAGCTTAATTGAGACTGAGAAATCTGAACTTTTTGCTGGTAGAGGCAGAGTAGTTTGTCATCCTAATCCTTTATGTGAAGGAGCATTAAGCAAAGTAAGGAATTGGCAAACAGCAGTGAAAACATACTGAAAGCTGCACCAAAGTTCAGCAACAGCCACGCGTCGGTGTGCAGTTGGCACTGTGTGGGCTGAACCCAGGACATGGGGAGGGTGCAGTGCAGTGCTGACTCAAGCTATGGCAAATAACGTCATGCCTTTTAATACACTGGATAAACACAGACTTGGAAACGGTGAAAAGTATGCAGCTGTGCTTTCTGTTCTGATGAAGGAATTTGAGAACAGCTTTCAAGATTGCTGAAAAAATCATCCTTTTTTTTTTTTTGTATATTTGTGACTCCTTTTTCAATTGATATAAATACATTTCCTGCAAATTTTCAAATAGAATAAATTGAATTGCAATCAGAGATTCGACTCAAAAATGAATAAATGTCTCTTTAATAGACTTTCATAATCTGTCTAAGCCAGAGAAAAATCTCCTTTGCTTCACAATCGCACCTCATTCATGTCATGGCTTTCTGGCAGTATGTATATTTGTAAACAACTGCTGTCAAGGATGAAGCACACAGAGAGCAAAATGTCATCAAAAATCTACAAAGAATTCCCTGAGTGCTCACTGAGAACTGCAGCCACTGCCATCGGACCGGCTGGGGCAGCTTCAAAGAAACAAGGTCAAATATCCCATTAGTTTATGTTTTTGTTGTTCTCTTTTCTTTTTTTATGATTTAATTAAAAAAAAATGTAAGAAATACAGTAAGCTTTGTTACGTACGTACATTACCTAAAGGGTATATTTTATGAGGGCTGCTCCAAAAGTAATGCCTCCTATTTTTCTGATGTTGGTCCGCAATGTCAGAGGTGGATGATGGTGGGATGGCAGTAGTGGTTAAATCTTCCCATCAATATCCCATTGCATGTTGTTGCTGTATAACACAGGGGCAGTCCGACAGAATGCTGTCTGACATGGAAGTGCATAAGAAGCAAGGGTGTGGCACTGAATCCTTCCATACACAGCAATGGCACCAAAGACATTCATCAGCGCTTTGCTGAACGTGGATGAGGACAAAACAGCAGATCAGAGCACAGTGAGGTGGTGGGTGGTGCATTTCAGCAGTGGCAAAAGTGACACCAAAGAAAAGCCATATTCTGGATTGCCCGTGCACAGCTGTCACATCACAGAATGAAGAGGGTTTCAATCTGCCCATACACAAGTTTGCTAACAATGGTTGGTAGTGAGAAAAGTAGTGATGAGTAGAAGAGAATTTGTTCTATCAAATAGTGTTAGTGTGCTCTTCTTATGTGCTGTTGTACCCATGGAAATAAACATGAGGCACTGCTTTCAGAGCAATCGGTGTACATCTCTGTCCCTTGCATTTCTACTTGCTATAGAAAAAAAGACATACGCTCCCTTGCTCAAAACACAGAATTCACTGTATTTCTCTATCAGTGACTTTCTCTGTGGTCATCAGGAATATTGCCCAAAACATTTTAAAAATACAATCTGCATACAAGGAAGATTATTTTTAAATTTAACTGTATTATGGCTTAGAAGACTTAAAAACCCATTCTGATAAATAAGTAAATATTGATAGAGAAACAAAGAAGGTCGTATGCGGCTTGCAGAGGAGTGTGCATAAACATTTTCTCATCTAGGAGTGTGACTTTTATATGAACTATGACTGAAGGATTTTGGAGCCACATGAGATGTAGATGTACCCAGATGTATCTTTGAAGGTACCTGCTTCAAGAATTTATTTCAGGTAGCAGAACAAGCTGGCTGTGATCTCTCATGGATCTGATTTCTACCAAGGATCAAGGATCCCCATCTCTTCACTCATGGCATCTGCAGAGCTGCCTGGCAAACGCACCCAGCCCAACTGCTTGATTGCTGCTCAGCCCCTCACACTGCTTTGCAAACTGCTTCTGCCCCAATGACAGCAGCAGCTCCACATCCAGGTGCAGCCTTCTTCCTTCCTCCTCCTTCAGCACCGGGCCAACTCTCAGCAACAGGCACCAACTCCCAATCTCCATGTTTTGGTCACCACAGGACATTGTTAGAGTAGTGTCACCATGCCCTACTGATGTCCAAAGTCAGCCTTTGGTTACGAGCCCTATAATTAGGGGTACCCTATGCCCAGAACTCCAGTCACTGAGTGAGAGACACCAGTGGCTACTTTGTGCTCCAGAGCAGACTGTTTCCTTCACCCAGAAGGCAGGATGGAATGCCTACCAGCCAAGAGAGGGCAGTTAATGGGGAGGCTCCACACCTCCCTGATGGAGGCGGACCCACCTGAGAGCAGAGAGGAGCCCATGCAGGTGGATTCAGGACCCAAGGAAGAGCTGGTGGAGGTCGATCCGCCTCCATCAGGGACAAACCACCAGCAGGCCACTGCTCCCAGGCTGCGTGGGAGGACATCCAGACCCATCCCTGCCATCGCAGTGGGGTGGGGTCCTGTCCACCTCCCCCCACATGGCCGCCTTGATGCTGGCACTGAGCATCCTGTCCTGGAAGTGCACCATTAGATGAGAGAGTCCCAAATTTCAGATCACCCACAGGCTCACATGGGACATTCATTTTCTGGGAATTCTTCTTCTGACAGCCAAGGATCCCATGAACCATCCTTCCCATTCCCACCCACCTCCCTCACCAAGATCCCTCATCTCTTCACAAAGAGGAAGAATGAGGGTAGAGATCAGCATCTTCTGAGCTGCTGCGCTGGGGCAACAGGAGGAGTCTGGAGGAGGGACCTGAGCTGCCTGGGGCTGTGAGGAGGGCTCAGAGCTGGTACGGAGGTGGCTGCTGCTATGGAGAAACAGAAGACTTTGGTGCTGATGGGAAGAAGGGCGAGGCTCAGAATAAAGGATGTCTGTTCAACACTGAACAATAAATGATTCAAAACAAAGAGAAAAGAGTAGAAAAGAAAAAGCACACAAACAATATTAAAAAATATCCTATCCCACAAAATTACCAAAACCAATAAACGTTCCTCTGTTTTTCAGACCTTGTGAGTCTGCCTGTGGATTCCTGTGTCTGCTCCTGGTCACCCCAGTATGGGAAAGATGCAGCCATATGGAGTGAGAGCCCAGCCCAGCACCTCAGGGCTGGGGAGGGACAGCACACCTGGCATCCCAGGGCTGGCTGAGGGAGCTACCTTTGGTCAGCACAGTGAGGCAGAGGCTGGTGCATTTCAGCAGTGAGTTACCTTTGCTGGTGCAGATTATTACGAGTATGGCACAGAGGCTGTTGTTAATTGCTAGCAAAAATGCATAGCTTATGGTGCCAACTATGTTGGAAAATAGTGTTTTGTAGCTGAGAATTTGCTCTATCAAATATTGTTATTGTGCTCTTTGTATCACTCGTATTTACCATGGAAATAAATAGGAGGCATTACTTTTGGAGCAACAGATGTAGATGCAGCACAAGACAATTCCTCTTTTCTGTGTGACCCAGGCAAGCCACAAGCTTGGACGCTCATACCCTAGAAAGAATGAACACATAGTGAGTAAGGGCTTTAATCAAGCAGCAGCCTTCCATGGTATTTAATACTTAACATTGTTCTACATGAAGAATCTCCCAGCATCTGTTTGGAAAAAGCAGAGTATCACAGAGTTTACACAACACCATCTTGCTGTACTCAGATAATGAGTTTACAGTTCTGTCACTCTAGAACTTGTATTACTTTATGCAAATAGGTTATATTTTAGAGCAAAAGGGGGATAAATTTAAGTCCAGTAAACACAAAATTTGGCTGCACTCCTATAATTAGATCTGTGCAGACATGGTTCTTCCCCTGCATAACACTTCCCTTGCTTAAATGGGCCACTGCACAGGGGTGGAGGTCCTCCCACACAGATCTATTGAGTCTCTCATTACAAATGGATCAGGAAACAGGTGGCTGTAACCAGCCCACCTGACTGTGCTATGGGTATATTGCAAATTTGACCTCAAGGACTTTATATCTATCTTCCTCAATCTCATGTTTTGCAGTTTTAAAGTATACCAGGACATTTTTTTTTTTTTTTTAAACTTATGGTACAGCTAAAGGAAAGTTTTCATGTTGCATTTTAACATGAGAGTTTTGCACAGCACTACTTTACATTTCTGGCTTGCTAATTTCACACCCAGATGCCATCTCCCAGCAGAAGCCCCTTCTGTGGTTTTCTACAGAGTGCTTAAGCTTGGCCAGAAGAAGTCAGCAGATGGGGAAGTTGCATCAGGAGTGTTTATTTGAATGTAGAAATACTTCAAGTGTTATTAACTCAGCATCAGAGCTTAAGCTTGCTCAAGTATAATTTTCACCCTCTGGTGACAATGCTCCTACCTTAAGAGCTACACTGCAGAAGAAGAAAACAAGGAGAGTTACACAAAGCTTAGATCTTTACTTGTTGGTACTTCCACATGTGTTATGCTTCCTTTATAAGTCTCTTCTAGATGAGCTGACTGGTGGCCAGTAGGAACTGTATTGTTGAAGCCCTTTCGGTCAGAACCCCTGTCTTGTCTTGATCTAATGCTTAGAGACTGAAAGATATTCTGTAATTATTTATGCATGTTTTTAACGCTTTACTAGTTTTACAACTAAATGCTGTCAATACATTTAATACAGAACAGTGCAAACAAAGGTTCTGTAAGAACCCCCAGAGGCCTGTCTTGTCATCCAGGCTTTGAAATCTCACCTGTGGTGTTTAAGAAGTTGCTGTTCCAATAGAAGGAAAGTGCTAATAGCCAGAAGTCCTTAAAAAAGAAAAAAAAAAATTAAGGTTATCTCTTCCTTTATAAACAGTCAAGATTAGATCTTCAAACACTTTGTTCTATTTACACATTGTAAACAAAATAAGGACCCCCAAAGGGTCTCAAACAACATGAAGTCTGCAAAAGCAAAACTCCTATTAACTTTATTAAGAAATTAAACTCCTAGAGTGAATATAATTTAGGGGGGGAAAGTCAAGTAATAAGGGAAAGAAAAAACTACTGAAAAAGGAAACTAACTTAGCTTTTTACTAAAAAAAGTAAAGAACAGAATAGCACTTAAGAAGACAGACTGCATATATTTGACATAAATCACATAAAAACTTGAAATACACTGAACAGCTTGTAGCCCTTTCCTGAGCACTTATTACTCTCTGAACACCAGCAGTAGCTATGGAGTGGGAGCTTCTTTTATACAGAGCTTTCAATATCCTTTGGGAAAGCACTCATCAGAATCAGCTGGGGGCCATTTGTGAGTCGGGTTTAGACTTTGCCTCGGGTAAACAGTGATGAAATAATATTCATAAATGATTAAATAATCTAGAGAAAACAATAGATAAAAACTTCAGGTAGCCAATGGCAGAGAGAGGGGTGAACTCTGAAGAAAAGTCAGGGAAGTTAATGGTTTGTGCAAAAAGCTCTACAGAATAGAGAGCAGACAGGTTTAAAATAAAAATGATCCAGGAAAATAAAACATAGCTAGAGGCTGAAGGATAAATTAAGACAGCAGCATGGGAGGTTATGCACCTTACAGAACATTTACGTGAACACCAAAGACAGTAATTTTGGGAGTAGGAAACATCCAGTGGATGTGATGGCATCATATCATAGAGAGCCACATAGAAAGAAAGCAGGAGAAATTGTTTAAGAAGGTTTTAATGGTTTTCCACCTATTCTGAACAGGAAATGGACAAAGAACATAACTAACAAAGCTCCAACTTTCAGAATAATTTTATTAACTAACGTGAAATCTATCAAAGTGTAAAACCCTTTTATCACAAAGACTGCAGCTGATGGTGGTCAGTATCAGGGCTCAGAGGACATAACCAGCTCTAATTGTCCTGGTGAGCTCTGAGCTCCACCTGGGACCCAAGCACACCCCTCTGCTCCTCAGTCGTGAAGCTCCATTTAAGCTCAGAACTGAGCATTTTCCTTGCTTTGAGTTGCAGGGCTGGGTCTCTGGCCTTGTTGTTTAACCATGGCTTTGTATCATAATCTTATTTTTAAATATTGTCTTTTGATTTTTGGTGGTTGCTATTTAAGGTTACAGTGTACTGATGGATTTTGGTGTTCCTGCCTGCTGTATTTAAGTGCCGTGGGTGTGCACCTGTAAGTATTGGTGTCTCTTTCAGTTCCTTGCTCTGCCTTATTTGTCCTGTTTCTTGGTGTACTGTTCTAATAGCACTATTCTAAATTCTAGTGTTTTCTAACAGTGATTCTCTCCTCTATCCTTTCTTGTGTGTGGTGACTTAAAAACTAGCTAGTGAAAGAAGTGATTGAAACAAGCACTAGGAGGAATTTTCAGAGGCTTGATGCTCAAAGTAGAAAAAAATAACTCAATAATGAAGATAGCCTTTTCTAGAACAGTATTCTTTTTTGTTTTTTTCTTCTCCAAATGCAACAAGTTTACTGAGTAAAGCAACTCTTTAGGCTTTTAGAATAAGAAATCCTTTATGAGCAAACTTAAGTTGGAGTAATAATTGTTCTCAGGTGATACTGTGCTGGGAGTGGAATTCAATCTGAATATCAGAAGTGAGAATACAAATGAAAACGTGTTCTGAAAGAGACGAGAATAAAAGCTAGCTAATATGAATTTGAATTAATAAGGTTATGTGATGATCAAAAGAAGGAAACTTACAGTGAAGTTAGTAGGGACAAACAAAAGATGAATCTTATAAAAGAAACTGCTGTGAGCCTAATGGTGACCTGTGTATGTTGGTGGCATAGTGATCACGACAGGAATTTGTCTTCCAGGTATTAATTATAATTGTTGCTGCTTTGCTTTAATAATTAAAAGGTCACCTTTATTTACTGAGCACTAAATATTAAATGCAGCATATTTAGCTGGAAACGATGAGATAGATTCTATATTTCTTTGCCAGACTGATCTACAGATGTTGCGGTACTGTGTTTTCTCTTCATCCTCAAGTTCATCCAAATGGTGCAACAATTTAGTTGTGCTCACAATGATGAGCACGTTCTGCAGTGTAACCAAAGGTATATCTCATGCTGTGCTATGAGACAGTGTTCAGCATTTATTGTAAATGGCTGTAGCTTTAGGAAATGCAAATAGTTGGTTCTTAAACCAACACAGCTACTCTGGAGTAAGCAGCTGACAGAGCAGGGGAAAAAGGCAGAACTTCAATGACTTCATACAATCTGAATTCCTAGATGATATATGTTAAAGCTCTTTTGCTAAGTAATGTATTTGAATATTGTTTGATTACTGATGCTGACAACTTAGACCCTAAAATACCTGCGGTTTCGTGGTGCTGTCTTTTGGCGTTCTTTGGGCTGCATGTGATGTCTTCTCTTTTTGTCGTTATGAGATAACGAGAAGCTCGATGTCAGCTAGGGAATGAATGGAAAGGTGTTATGGTAAATTGGGGAAAAAATATTGAACTGGCTTCTTGTAGCAAAGAAGACAGGAGGAGGAGGCAGCAGATGTGAGCATCTCTGAACCAGGAAGTTCTCAAGATGCATTTCCAGCTTGAAGATGTGCTAGAATAGATAAGAGAACACAACAAGAAAACTTATTTGAGAGGCAGGATTGCTTTTTTTCAATCCTGTTGAAAGGATGCGTTCTGCATCTGCAGATCTCGCCCTCAGTGCCACCTCTAACCCTACTTCCACGGCCTGAGTTGCAATGCTTTGCATTTTCGACAGGACGCCGTTTTAGATTTGACTTCTTGCTCATTATTGCCGATAGATGGCAGCAAATGACCACAGATTTTCCGTCCCTACTGCAGCCCGCTCCGCCTCGATGGCTTTCTGTAGGATCATCCTCTTTAAAACCAAAATGGTGCCGGTTCCACAGCAGCAGAACCGCAGTAGGACTGCGGTACGAGGCAGAAGGCCTGATTTAACGTGGTACAGCGTTAAGGCGGATGATGAAACCGTCGGTTCCCGCCTCCAGCAGTGCTGCGGCTTTTTCAGTGTTGATCTGCTCGCGTCCTTTACATCAAAAGACGCGAACAACGCAGGCTTTGATGCGTCGCTGTGTTGGGGGAGAGCCAGCAGAACAACGATTTGATTTCAATCGCAGTCGCTCTCGGCGAGAGGTCGCCGAGTTTGCCTCAGCTGGCACACGGCAGACGCGTGCCGTTCCACCGCTTGGTGCAGAACGCCGTGAACGCCACACAGGGGCACGGCCCGCGCGGCGCCTCGCCGTCAGGCGACCGCGCGCCGGAATTTTGAGCCTCGCGCGCTGCCGTCCGCGCGCCGCTCGCTGACGGGACGCGGCGGCCCGGCTCGGTTTCGGCCCGCGGAGCGCTTGCTGCACGGCAGAAGCACTCCGTGCGCACGGCCGCCATGTCTGCGCTGACGAAGGCCTCCGGCGCGCTCAAGTCGGTGGATTACGAAGTGTTCGGACGAGTGCAAGGTAAGGGCGGGCTGGGGCGGGGGTGCTGAGGCGGCGCCAAGGGCGCGCGGCTCAGGCGGCCGTTGCCTGACTGTGCGCATGCGCGCGGGGCGGGCGGCGCTGAGGTGTTGGCGCCAGGCTGGGGGGCTCGTAGTCCTTCGTGAGGGGAAAGCGCGGCGGTGTGCCTCGCTGGAAGGCCGGGTGTTTCCGTTATTTCCGTTAGCTGCGGTCAGGCCCGCGTTTTCTGTCAGCGTGCTGGCGGCAGAACGCTGAATGTGAGGTCAAAGGCGTGTTCTCATGTGAGAAACCACCGCCAGCTCCGTTATTGAAAAGTCGGGCAGCCTCTGCTCGAGGCTTCATTTCCCTCAGGAAGGACCCCGTGCAGTTCATAGTGAACTTACACGGCTGGGTTTTTTCTCTTCAGAAATATTGCTTGAAGTAATTTCATTCTGTTTTTCTTTCTTTTCTAGGTGTTTGTTTCAGGATGGTAAGGCAATGTCTGATTTACCCGTTGTACCTTACGGTATAGCATTTCCAGTGCTAAAAATAGGGCAGCTCATCTCCTGGCTGTAAACACATCCGCTTGAGGGCTAAGTTAAGTACTGTGTTTAAAGGAGGACCTTTTTTTTTTTTTTTTAAATAAATGTGTTATTAAAAATGTGTTTAGAAGTTTATTGATGCGTTGTTTGTGTGGTTTCTGAAGGCTGCCTGGTTTGTGTTGTAACAGCCATCAAACAGACGTGCAGACAGGTGTGCAGATCTTTAGCAAGGTTAATTCAGAAGTGCTGAATGCTGGCTTCTGAAACTGTGTGTTCCAGTTGGGATTATTAATTGCAATTACAGTGCCACTGTTTAAGGAAGCTTATGTTCCCTTGTGGCAGAGGCAGTGGTGTCCCAGTCAAAGTTTTCTTCATCTGAGCAGTATGCTTGGGTAACAATTCAAGAAACAAGAGATGTATTTTTCCAAAATTTTGTTGGAGCACTGTGCTGTATTTAATATTAGACCTAAAAGCCTTTTCAGCATAGCTTTTATATTGTGAAATAGCTCAGAATTGCAAATTACAATGCAATACATCTTTAATTATGCTGTACAAAGTGGAAAGTGTCCCTATACATCATGTGGTAGGCAGGTGCAAGCTTGTTCTGACTTGTTTTGAGCTGACCTGGAGTCATGTGAACACATACAGAGTGTCAGTCCAGAGCTAACCATCAGTATTGAGAAACACCTTGTCAGCTGCATTCCCATGCTCTTGGACAGCTTGGTAGAGAGAAGTTGCTTGGAATCAATTTTTAAAATACTTTACCTAAGTATCAGCACCATTCTGTTGCCTAAATTACCTCCAAATTTTCCTATTTTGTAATGTAGTTATATGACCTGAAGTTTGGCTGTTGGCATTTGGAATAAATGCCTCAAGAGTGCATGTGCTACGTATCTTGTCACTGAACGTGTAAAAAGCAAAATGGAGGAAGCATCTTAAAGTAAGCTGGATCTTAATGAAAAAATATTAGTATTAGCTGTTGTTTTATAGCCCCACAGGGAATGAAACTAAGGGATTTCTGTAGAACAGCCATTCTGTTCCCTGCTGTTTCAGGGTTCAAGCACATGTTGTGAGGATCACACGTGTTTTATACATACATGAAAGAAAATAAGAACTTTTTTTAAAAAACAAAACAGGATTTTTGGAAGTTCCTGAATTTTGTTGCTGTTTTTGTCTAAGGATAGAACTTAAGTGGTGAAAGTCAGGTGGAAAGGATTTAGACTGAAACTAGAGACAAAACCTCTAAATTTGTGTGTGCAGCATGTTTAAAGAACTTAGAGGCTGATTGTTGACGAGACAGATGAGCAGTGATAGGAGCTATAGAAAGGGTTAGACAGCTTAGAAGGGGTATAGGTAGAAGGGGTGGTCTGGGTTTAGTAGAGTCGTGTTTAAAGCTGTTAAAGAGTCTGTAAACAAAAAGAACAAGTCTCTGTTCTATGAATGAAAAAGCTTGCACTGTCAGAAGATTTATATGCATGTACAAACAATAAAGCAAGCAGCAGGATGAGCATTATGAGTAGGATAAGGAATCATATGTAGCATGTTTTTTTTTTTTAAGGAAAGTATTAGGAAGTGCATAAATGAATGTGGGAATTCAGTCATGCGTTTATCGTAATATATGAAATGTCATTCTTGCTGCTTCTGCTGCAATTGTAGGGCTGACAGGACTGGCATAATGTCTGAGTGTGAGCATAATCTGGTGTTCTTTGTTTTGTTTTTAATGTTGGTCTTAAGTGGAGTTTTAATTGGTCTGTGTGTGGTGTACATGCTGACACTGACTGTCCTTTTTTCATTACTTTTCATATCAGTACACAGAAGAGGAAGCTAGGAAATTAGGAGTGGTTGGCTGGGTTAAAAATACCAGACAAGGAACAGTGACGGGCCAAGTTCAGGGCCCAGAAGATAAAGTAAATGCAATGTAAGTATCTTTGTTTTGTTTGGTGTTACTAGTGTGATTTACAGAAGTATTCTTAATCCAAAGTAACGAGTAAATGCTTGTATCAGTAACTTAACAGTGCTTTCCAAGTCTTGGCTTTATTTGAGGAGTTCAGGAGACACATTCTTGAAGCTGTAATAAAAGTCTTTTTGCTTTAACAATAGTTTGTGGCATCAGTCAGTTTTGATTTCTTATGTTGTACAGCTTATCATTGCATTTCCCTGAAATTGCTCTTTTGAAACACAGGGAAAACCATATGTTCATAAACAGAACAGGTCTGTTTTAACCTCAAAGCTCCTCTGCAAAGAAACACTGAAGAGCTTCTTGAAATACTTGTTCAGTTTTTACTTAAATGAATTTGAAGAAAACTGACTTTTAAGTATAGGTTTTTCTGTAAAAACAAACAAAACCAGCATAAATACACATTGGAGCAAAGGTTTGCAGTGTCTGCTCTCTGTAAGTGTGTTATGAAATATGTTGGTGCCTTTAAAATAAGAGAGAATATTTTTTATTAAATTGCCAGTTTCCAAAAGCTTAAAGGCATCCTTTTGGGGTGCTACCTGTAAAAACAAAAACCAATTCCATTGCTTCCAACCACGTTTTTCTTCTGCATGTGTAGAGAGATTGTTTGGGTCTTTTTTCTTTTTTTCAAAAGAAAGTCAGTGGTTTGTTCTGTTGACAAAAGGATATAAGTAAAACTGGACTTTGCAGGCTTTATTGCAGATAGATAAATATTAGTGCAAATTCTGTCAGTGCTTTCCAGTACATGACTTGCTTCAAAACTCAAAATAAAGCAAGGCTGTTGGCTTTGTAAAAGGAAAATGGCATTGCTTCCTTTTAGTGAAGAAAGTTGTGTATGATTATTTAATGTGACTGAAATAGCTGTAGTAATTATTTTCTTGGCTCTTGAGCTTAGTATTGGATGGCTTATGTTGGACTGCAGAACAAAGCCAGAGATAGGTTAGTTGTTGTTTAAGTTAATTCTTATTTTCTGGGCCCTGGCAGTTAATATATTGTATTTAATCTTTAGGTATTTGAAAATTTAGTGTATAGTTGCCATCTGTAGTAAATTTGTAACACTGAGAAGGAGCATGAAATACCATGATTTGATTTCTGTTCAGAGTACATTTTGTTTAAGAATATTTCTGAAGTTGACTGACTTACTCTAATAAAGCAGTTTTATGTGGAGCACAGCTAACTGCTGACATGTGGCTTTATTTGCATGAAACTAGGATTGCTGCAGCGTTCTTCCATTGTTATTTGTGCTGATGGCATTTAAAGGAAACCCTGCACTCCTACACCAGAAAGTTTGTATATGTAACATGAGATCTTTTTGCAGAGCTGCAAAATTAGACTAACGAGACCAGGCTTGTTTTCAAAGATGAGACAACATAATGGCTATTCTGAAGGGAAGGGAAGCTTTCATTTTAATTTGTTAAACCACTTCAAATAGCGTCAGCAAGCTTGACTGGGACAGTAAGCTGTGACAGTGATGTTGAAGCTTTTGATGTACATTGTTTGTGATATTCAGAGCAAATAAAATGTTGCTTTCAAATATTGTTTCTTCACTTTAAGTTGGAAATCTGTATTTTGCTTTGACATGGGAGTGAATGTTTCAATACTGAAATTCAAGTGCAATTTCAAAGTACATATTGAAATGCAGACTAGATTTCCTAGAGTAAAATGCTGGAGGAGAAATTTTGCTTGTTCCCTGTGTGGGCTCTGATACGTGGAAAAGATGAGGATTTCATTTTTGGTAATAAATTAGTTGTCTTACAACTTCTTCCTTTGCATGTGCATGTGAATGGCTGTTTTGTGAGGCTTTTATTTCTTTTGCACTGCATGTCAGTAGAAAATCAAAATAAGATTGATGTTTTGAGTTCTTGAAGAATGTTTTCCAAAGTTCATAGCATGCTTTCAAGGTGTTGATAATACTTAGTTCTCTAGATGCAAGGGTTATTTAAGATGGAATATTAAATGAAAATAAAATGAGGCTAGCTATTGCTCTGGATAATTGATATAAATCATTAATCCTTAAAATGTTTCTGTTAGCACTGAGATCAATAACCAGGAGGAAATTCTGGCACCAACTTTCTATGCAAGGTCTCCTTTGTATTGTTTTTCAGCTCTTCAGAACTTAAGAGACTGTGTGTGTGTGTGTGTGTGTGTGTGTGTAACTCTTAGAAACTGGGAGACCTTAATGTTAAAAGAACACTTTTCCAGGGAATACAGTACCTCAATCAATGTTGTAAGGTATTTCCAGACAATTTCCTAATTCACATATTGGAACAGTGTGTTGTAAATATCTTTGTAGTCTGGTTTGTTCAGTGTGTCTTTGGGACAGGTATTTTCACACTTGTACATGTTTCTACATTGAACTTTTAGGCACAAAGTTGCCTGATTTTTTTTCAGAGGTGCGGCACTTTCACAGCTCAGGTGTTAATAGTGGTAAAATGATTTGACTGTTGTTCCACCGATGCTTACATGTTAGTATTGCTTTTAGGGGGAGGAAAGAGGAGTGGTTTGGTCTGTCATAAACTTTTTATTTTTTCATGATACTATAAAAAGAAACAAGGACATAGATTATAGAGAGATTAGGGATGATCTTAAAAGAAGGAAGAAGGTAGAAATAGCAAGAAGGGAGGGAGAGAAGAAGGATAAGAGCTTGAGAGAAAGATAAAGGAAAAGCGTAAATATATGGGGAAAAACACAACGAGACACTTGGATACCCCAGCCTTTGTTCTGGGGGCAGAAATGCAGCAGACCTCAAACCCAACTGTTTCCCAGTAGTTGTCCTTTGTTCCTGATATTTTGATCCTTCTTATTCTGTTTTGTACTGCTCCTTGAATTCTGAGGCACAGTTAGGAAACATTCAGCACAGGCTCAAAGCAGTGCCTCTGCATGGTTTTTATGCAGGCCATAACATAAAATATGGTCTGGGAGGAATTGAGGGCAGTCCTGGGGATCTAATTAAAGCCTTAGTGCAGTGTGTATGTCAGGCTTAGATGGAAGGTGTGAAGTAGATAGGAAAAAGAACATGTCAGGGAAGATGTGTTCTGAAGATTATTTGTACAGGTAAGTGGTAGGAAGTACACAACACCTGCAGGTATTGGGAACCTGCTGCTGGAGATTCAAAGTTCAACTTTGCTGCTTTGATACTCCTTTATATGTGGTCAGTTTTCTCTATAAAAATGTGTCCAACGTTTTGTAAAATATGTTCATGAAAGAGGTTACACGTGTGGTTTTTATAGACCAAATAATGATTAAGAAAGGGGCTTATAGATAGCACAGGGAAGGTGAGAATCCCCTGGAAGCAGTGACACTGGTACATTGGTTCTGTGCTGGGGAAGCCTACCAAAAACACTTTGCTTAAATGGGTAACTTGACTGCAGGGGCTGACTTGGTCCTCTGGTTGGTGGGTTTATTGTCAGTTGAATACAAATGTGGCTGGTCTTTATTAACTGTAAGAAAAAAAATCCTGCCTTTTTTAACGGTAAGGAGCCAAATACAATGTTGTGTGTTAGGACTGAGAAACTAGATGTAGGAAGGCAGCCACTATCTGTGTATCTGCTGCTGCAGGTGCCTGGTGATGGCAGCGTTCCTTCTGCACGCAGAGTAGGGTTTGTTAATGCAAGGCTTGGTTTCTTTTCATCCTGCCAGAGAAGCTAATCGACCTTTATCTGAACCAGCTGTTGTTTCTTAGGCAGTGTGCTGTAGCCTGGATTTTGTCCTGAATCATAAAAGTAATTGTTTCATTGCAAACAATGTATGATTATGATAAATTGTGAAAATGATGTGCAAACCAGAGTTTGCCCTGGAACATGTAACAGCTTAGCAGGGATGTTCTGACTGTGCAAAAGTAAGTGGAAGATGGCATGAATATGGAAGGTTGGGGCATAAGGAGTGTCGTACGTGCAAGAAGTTTCATTCCATATTGGTCTGTTCACTTAGTGTTGAGTGTGGATATAAATATTTTTGTTGAATTCAGTGTGAGCAGGCGAATTTCTTTGCTATATTCTATGGTGAGATCACACTGGAAACTAGTGAAATCTACTCTGAATTGCCCAAGGGTAGGATTTCATATTTTTAATTTAACTGAAATAAAGAACAAGGTACGAGTGTGCAGTTCTTGATTTCTTTGCTGTTTCTGTTTCATGATCTGTTTTCAGTCTGTTTTTAATGAAAATATCTTTTAGTTTCTTAAGGATAAGTGACTTCTAAATTAAAAGAAACATTTAGCAGCTACTTTTGTGTTAACTAAGATATCTTGCTGACAATCTTAAAAGGTATTTTTAATCAGCCTTGAACTTTCTACGTGTAAAAATTCATATCCCTTGCTTTTTAAACTCTAGATGGAGCTGTTTGTTCCCTAGATACGTTCAACCACTTGTGCTTCATTTGAAGTGAATCTATTTTTACTCTTAATGATAGACTCCATCTTTTCTTCACTGTGACCTTTTCCCTGCTGTCTCTCTTAGTCCTTTTTTCAGCTGTAGCTGCACATGGGTAACACTCATTATCCTCAGGTACTAAAAGCCCAGTCTCAGTCCCTTACCTGTCTATAATGCAGAGAATATTCACGTAGCAAAGCTGAGTCAATGCATTTCTAAAACATCGTGACATGAGGCTTTAGCTTAAGGTCTTATGTCCAGATATCACTTAATGGGGTAGACAGTCCTTTGGTTTCCTTTTACAGGAGGACTCAAAGTACGAGGGCTTTCGTTGTAATATTTTCTGATTTTTCTTCCACTTTATTCATCATGAAGGGTAGAGCATTGGCAGTCAGTGTGGTTGTTGCCATAGCAACTTGCATTGACAGACTAGAAGTAATTTTCCTCAGAGAATTTTTTGAACTCTGACATATCAGTTATCCTTTAAAAAAAAAAAAAAAGCTCTCGCATGTAAATCTCTACAAAAATCAGATTTGAAATTGGGACAGCACTTTAAAATGTAATATTGTAGCACATGACTTTCTTATTTGGACCAAATAATGTGTAACAGCACAAAGTTTTTTTTTTTGCCTTTGTAAGAAGGCATTAAATGATAAATTATTGTCTTGGAAGTTGTCTTAAATTAGTAAACTATTGCAACTTAAATTTAGCTTTTCGTCTCTGTATCAATTGAGAGGAATTTGTGTTAACTATACAAGCAGTGTGACTTGAGAGACTCCATTCTGTGCATAGAAAAATCCAGCTTTATTCCACCTAAAGACTGGGAGGGGGGTGGAAGAAACTCTTCCAGTAAATATTGCAGCTGTCGTTGTATATCTGTTGCATGGACATGCAAAACTCCTTCCTGTACCAACTGGCTTTGAATAAAATGTTTTCCCTTGGTTTGCAGAGAATAGCCATGATGGGCAGAAATAAGGCTAAAACACTATTGCTTTTAGTCCTCAGGTGTCTATATTTAACCTGAGTGATTTCCTTTAGTAAAATCTTAGAACTTTATCTAAATATAAATTGGATATTTAAAAAGAGCTAAGATTTTAGTCTGTTCTGAGATTTGTCTCTATTTTAGAAATGCGTATGTGAAATTTCTTCAGCTCAGTCTAAATGTCTGGAAAACTGCTTGTGACCCTTGGCATAATGGTGGAAGTAGCAGAGCACATTTTTACAGAGAAGGGTTTTAAGTTTTTAAAGACGTATTGGAGACATCTGTGATATGCCCAGCAGCATGCTATTGGGAAGAACACAAAGACAGCTGAGTGAAAAGTTCAGAGGGGGAAATATGGATTAGGGAGAGAACAGGGAGGCCAGCCTGGACTTGACAGCAGTGGATCCATTAAAATGATGTGACCTTGAAGTGGGAACCAGTAGACTACAGAAGTGGTGAAGAACATCAGACTAGCAGAAAAAGTATAGAACTTAAGCAGATACACTTGTTTCTCCAAGTGGGAGCATGACTTGCTAATCAAAGGTGTGATGTGATAAGAAAAAAAAGCCATTGAGATTGGTCCTAGAGATAGAAGGAAGAACTGATGTGTGGTAGAGAGAACATCACACCCAAGAGCAAGTTGTAGTGGCCGTGAAATTCCAAGAGGAGAAACAAGCTTTGATCAATCCTAACAGAAATGGTTTGGCAAGAAAGGGATCATTAAGCTGTCTGAAGTACATCTAAAACAAGTTGTCAGGTATGCTATGAGAAATTATCCTGCAGTTCTCTGAACACAAATGCAGTTCTTAAAACAGATTCCAAGCATAGAGGTATACCTTTTCAGGGCTCTTTGTATTAAAAGGATGTAATAACTTATGACAGGAATGATCTAACTACCAGCCCTTTTTAATGAGCACTGGCTGAAATGTTGCTGTATCAAGCTTGGATCAAAGAAGGGGGTAGGCCAAGGTGAGTGTCAGCATTCCAGCTATCTGGAGAGGCATGTAGGCACAAAAATGCAGCTAGGAGATTTGAGGCTGATTATGTGAAGGACACACTGGTCATGATGTGCTTGTGTTAGAGAACACAGATTATAAGGATTAATACTTCTTGCCATGCTTATTTTCAATGCTTTTCTATGAAAATGCATCTCTAATGCAGGTCACTTAATGTTTACTTGATGTCTCCTCAGTGATGCAGCTCTGTGCTGTAATCATATGGCTGAAATATTTCCTGATGTTCTTGGGAAGCTGACAGTGATGCATAGTGAAGGAAGGGGTAGAGGGTTAGCTAAAATCATTCTTCAAGATTTTTTTCTTCACTAAAATGCAGAATAGTGAAAAAGCATTAAATGTGTTGTCTCATGAGATGTGTGTAATGTAAAAAGTACAGTTGTTACATTAATTAGTGAAGGTCATTTGCCTGTGGTATTTCAGTGACTTCACCAGTCAGTTGAAAAGAAAAATGGCAGGGTTTTTGCAGTTCACTGTGGGTCCAGTCAAAACAAGCTTTATTTTTTTTTTTTTGCTTTATTTAAAGATGAAATTAACCTATACTATTTAACTTGCTTTAAATTGCCTCAAACCAGACTGACCTTCTGTACTGAATGTTTGAGGCATTAATTTCTTAATTTCTGTGGTTGAATATTCCTCCGTGTTGATAGGTTAAGCTGTAAAGTTTCACTTATGCAAACTTGGAGGTTGCAAATTACTGCAAATTAAATTCACTGGATGTTACTGAAGATGGGGAAGAACAAATGAAGTAAAACTTATTTTTCATGGTTTTAGCAGTTCCAACTAAATAAAGGAAGAATTAATTAGTTTGTTGTAGCAGCTGTACTCAACATAAAGGCCAAGGAATGGATTAGGTCAATCAGAAGACAAGGTTTCTTAGTGGCTTCTAAGAATCAAACCAATAAGCTGTTAATGATAGCTGAAGGAGGAAGGTGCACCCTTCCAGCAGCAAGTCCAGCATCTGTTTGGTGGCTTACCTTTGTTCTGCCCTTACATTTAATACATTATAGCAGGGCCTGCTGCCCTCCTGTTGGTCACAGGCATAGCAACACGTGCTTCCTTGCTGTGGACCAAGTCTGGTTGAAGGAAGAGGCCTTCCTTCATTGTAGGGTCACAGAGCTGGGAACGGAAGTGAACTCCTTGCACGGCTTCTGTCCTTAGACTGGTGCTGTATTGTTCCTGAGTTTGGAATGCCATAAACAGTTACGTTTTTAACTGTGCTTATGTCATGCTTTATATGGAATAATGTTAAAATAATGTTTTCCTGCAATCCTGTTTCTTTTGTTAGGTTATAAAGATCACTGTCTTGTACGACCCTGTAGAATTTTCATCTACTTTGATCTCTGAATTTGCAGTAGGTCAGTGGAATTAGAATTCTTTCAAAGTGTCTGCTTTCATTTCTGATCACTGATGTGTTATGTTATTGATACATTTTGATTAAAACTAATTTAACAAATGAGGTTAAATGCAAGCTTCTAAAACAAACAGTTAATTAGGATGTACTGAATGCTGTCTTTTTAGGTCTGAATCCTCACGTTTACTTCATCTTTTGTGTATCACTTTGATTTGGAGGAGTGCGGGCTAAGCAGTTCAGTCACTCCTGAGGACAGAACAAAAGTTCTTGTTAAATCTTACATGTTTTCATTAATGTTCAGAGTTACTAATTTAGTTTAGGGCAGTGCTTAATTCTCACAGCTGTTCTTCTAAATACACTCTGTAACTTAGTCTCATCATAAACACAAGTCTGTTGATGTGTTCTTTTACTGGGGGAAGGGGACCACGATTCAACAGCTTATGTTATTTGGTTCAGGGAAGAGTGCCTGTGCCTAATCTCTCTGAAGCTGTCAGGAATGTCTGTTTGCTTTGCTGAGAAGGATGTAACTTGTTTTATTTGTTAAAATGAAGGTATTGCGTGCTTTGCATGCTTGTAGGTCTCAAAAGGGAGATGCTACAGGCCTCTTGTATGCCTTCAGTTCTTAATTCTAGTGGGCACATCAGTCTCTGTTCAGAAGCTAGATACAGAGAAGATGCTGTTGCTTACCTCTTCTGCCTCTTCTGTTTATAGAGAATGTACCAGGTCATTTTCCTGCGTTTAAGCAAGACTGGGTTTCCAGAAGTGGGGCTCAATATCTGTCTTTTAGTTCACAGAATGTGAAGTATGAAAGATTTTTTCCAGGATCACTGTGATTTTGAGTGAGCTACTTAACTTTTTTCCCCTTTATTTCTAGTGGCACACCTCTTTAGAAATCATTCCATGAGAACGTTGCTTTAATGCTTCAAAGTTATTTGGCAGTGTTAATACATGAGATGCTCTTAGCTGGAGTATTCTAGCCTTCATTTGTTTAGATGATGACTGTGGTGTTCATCCAATTCAAACCTGCTGCGTAGTTTAAAGTTAAGTGGGATTGTAAGGCTGAATTGGATTGTTCTATAAACAGAAGTAAATGGAATTGCTGTCTGGATGATCAGTTTAGGTATTTTCTTGCATAACCAGAAATAGCCATGCACTTTTCATCTATACTGAAGAAGCAAGAAACTTAAATATTTAAGTCTAAATATTTATAGTGAATACAGTTAAAAAATGATCCTGTATGCAGCTTGAGCTTTCTAAGATACCTTTCAAAGCAAATGCCAGTTAGATG